TTATACATTTATAAAAATATAAAATATTTTTAATATTGCATTAAATACTATAAAAATCTTTATAATATTTAATATAATATTTCAAAATATTTAATACTTGATACATTTTTATTTATTAAGCAAATAAATTCTAAACAAATAAATAACAATAATAAATATTATATAATAAAAAATAATAAATATTTAAATAAAATTATTCACATTTTCATGATTTCATCAAACCCTGCATTAATACATTTTAACCCACTGACTGGATTTTGAAAATATGTTGTTTTGCACATTAAAAAAAAAAATTTTCAAAGATTATTGGAATATGTTTTACAAGAAAAATAAAATTTCAATCATTTTACTTCCAAAACTTCATGTTTAACTGTGAAATTTACTTGCAATTTCTGAGTGAACTTTCTACACCAATTTTTATTTTATTTTCAGTGCAGTCTCCTGCATCTGATGATAGTTCTTGGTTTCTATCTTGGTTTGGCTCTGATAGCAACAGCACGTCTCAACAGCCACAAACCGCAGCGATCTGCTGAAAAAAGCTCTTGTTTGGAAACACACCGCTTGAATTCACACCTCGGCTGTTGATGGTATAAACAGCAGATATTAAACACACGGTGTGTCGCGTCAGTCAGCCGCGGCTCTGAATACGGCTGATGCTCAGATACGGGATGTTTGTTGACTCAGCAACAGATGGGAACCATAGACGAATCTGAGCTGAACACACTTTATTCTGACGAGGTGACGCTGCTCTTGGCCTGAAATGCTCCTGTGAGTCAGTCAAACATGAGAACAAATAAAAGCTCATGCTAATGGAAACAGCTCTGAAGGGCAGAGAGCTGATCTAGTGTATGCTTCTCTAAAGGTGAAGCGGTTAACATGTTTAATTTCAGCTCTGAACAAAACCAGTTCCATCCTAACCTTCATAACTCATTTGAGTCCGGAAGAGATGCATAGTCTAAAAAAATGCATAGTTTTTAGTAAGAGTATGAAACTTTGCAAATGCTTTAAGACCCTCAAAATACAAGATTTTTTACACTTATTTTGTACGAGATATAAACATTTTTACAAAAAGTCATGTATGGAGTACCATTAGTGTCAAAATTAGTTTTTTTTGTAAAATTATCTATGAAGTTATATTAGTGTCAAAAACTTTTATAAAATATATTTCTCCTTTTCCCCATCTCTCATACACTTTTGGACTGAATTTTTGGGACAGAAGTCTGTTGACGAACCATTGCAGCATAAAAAATGTATCACTTTTTTTTTTAATCTGAGAATGAAAGTTTATGCAATTAAAATTAATGTATTTCGTTTTTTATGTATCACTTTTTTTTTTTATCTGAGAATGAAAGTTTATGCAATTAAAATTAATGTATTTCGTTTTTGTTTTTTTTATTACTTATTTTTAATTAATAAAAAGGGGTACATGCAATAATAACATGCAAAACCTTCAATTTTCTTTTTCACATTCACTCATTAATGAGAAGTTGCTGATCAGATATAATATGGTTTAAGACGAAAAATATTAAGTTATGACTGTTTAATAAAATAATGATTCTTGTATGCAAAAACAGTGTACATGTTACAAGGGTTAACAGTCTAAGCAGATGAAGTTCCATCAGACTGCAAATGTTAAATGAACTAAAGGCCAACAGCAAACAAACACACATTCAGCACTGGCGTGTCAATAAGACAAGCCCTCTATTTACAGAAAACCCAAATCTCACATGTTAAGTGTCGTTACAGACAGAATGGCACTGATGAACAGGTGTCACATTCAGAACGGTGTGAACAAATCTGCGGTTGATATTGTCTCCATAATGCCTGAACGAACGGTTGATAAACCTCACTTCAAACAAACAACCAAGAGACTGGCCTAAAACTCACAAGTTCAGACAGAAACGACAATCAACTTCATTTAGAGAAAACAAGAAAATAAATACACCGAAATGAACACTTCATCTCAGTAAACCAGTTAGCTCAACAAATCGCATCACCTTATGAGGGTCGATTACGGACTAATACAAGACATCAAAACCAAATACACCAAATATCTCACCATGAATCAATCACAATACGAAACCAGAGATTAGACTAAACTAACAACAGAACTCGTCACCAATAATGCACTGACTAGCAATGTTTCACATTTCATTACACCAAATACACAAAACAATGTTCTTTTTAGCAACATCATATGACCCCTTTAAAATAACCTGTTCAGGAACACCAGGCAACAAACGTAACTGGTTGTTTGTACTTTCTTGCCTTCACATGCTATCGAAAATCTCCACATTCCCACTTCTGAAGTCATAATTACTTGTTTATCATGTTCAAGTGCTTTGTTGTTGGGAACAATAGAAATAATGGAGGACAACTGGTTCATTCTTGCCTGTTTCTTGGGGAAACCATATTAAATCCAAAATGTATTGACGATATTTATTCAATATCCAATAGACTTTGAAAAAAATGTGGCATCCCATTAGTTGACAACCAACTAGACGTTCAACCCACGATTCTGAAGTTTCAGTCCAATAAATGCTAAACTTCAATCACTACGTTTAAAATTTCTCGGAAACTGGGGTCTCAAAATGATCTCCAAGTTTCCAAGTTGTAAATCCGACCTAACCCTGATGTCCAATTTACCTAACCCTAACCCATGTCCAAAAATGACTAGGAAACTTGTATTTACCACAGCATGTGAAGGCACCATAAACACTAGGACTATATCAAAGGACAAGTATCAATACGATCTATTGATTAATATCTGGGTTAGTAAAACCAACATGGCAAACAGCATAAAATAAGGAGGTAGCTCTCACCGGTGGTGTTTTTTGGGAGGTGGCGGAGGCGGTGCAGGATCCCGACTGGTGTTGGGTTCACTGGAGTGAATGAGAGGAGACAGGCTCGAGAGCAAGCTCTCATTGGCTCTGCTGTCCTCCGCCTGCAAATGACTGGTGCTTTTGTTGGCGGTGCCTGGCATCGCACTGCTCTCGCTCGTCCATTCTCTGGACTCAATGCAAGGAACAGCAGGACCATTGATGGAGTCGCCCGGCCCACTAGAAGAGCCCGATCTCTTGGCCGTCCCCTCAGACTCGACCTCCTCTTCCACCTCATCAATACAGCCCTCCAGACTCCTGGCGCTGTGGGACTTGTGTCTCCACTCCGGGACGGCGTGAGTTGGAGCACTGGCATGCACTTGTGAGGTCACTTGATTTGGAGGAAGAACCACGTGAAAGCTGAGCTCGGGTAACGGTACTAGGGAGAGACTAGAGGTACCAAGTCTTGGTGGACGAGTGCTGATCTTAGGGGGAACTGGGGGACTCGATTGAGGCTTGGGTTGGGTTGTTTCAATGGCATCAGGAGCATTTGGCCAAGTGAACGCTGGGCTTGATGGGTCCTTGGGCGTGGTTGGGCTGAAGTGGGTCCATTGGGTGCTTACGGCAGAATCCGGACTGCTCAAGTAGAACGTCCGGTTGTTTTCCTCAGTATGGGCGGCCATGACTGTAATAGTCGCTCTTTGATTGTCGCTTACGTTGACCTCGGTTTCAGACTCGGAGGACTGCGGAGCCTTCCCATCACACTGAGCATTGAGTCGTCTTTTCCTCTTGGTGCTCTCAGCATAGATCGGCTCACTTTCCTCAAGCCCGTTTAGTGGAATGCTAGTGGAACCTGGAGACTTCTGAGGGCTCCGGAGTCCTGGTAACGAATCCACGCTGCTCCGATTGGAACACGAGTCCGACAGGCTTTTGTGGAAGGAGTCTGGAGTCATTGGAGATGGTGAAGTACCTGGCGTCTCATTGGACGATCCATTAACCACATTCCCTGGTGCGGTTCTGGCTTGCCTTTCCTCTACGGATGCCCTTAGAGGACTTGTAACTCCATCACTGTTTCCAGTCCCGTTGTGAAGACATAGATCTCCATTGGCGTAAGTGCTCTTGACCGCTTTGGTCATCTGTCTATAGGAGCCACTGTTCCCATTCTCTTTCAGACTGTGGGGAACACAGCCATCTTCCTGACTCATAATTATATTGCTGATAATCATGCAGTCCTTGGATAATCCAGTGGGAGAACAAATGTTTGCGGAGAACTTCTTTCCAGAGATGCCGTTTTGTATTACGGTTTCTCTAAGAGATTTATTACATCCATTGCTATCGATGTACAGAGGAGCCAAATCCAGAGCTTTCTTCAGTCCTACAGAGGTCATCTGGTTGTTCTAAGATAGAGAAGTAATAAATAAGTTTGGGAAAAATTCAAACTCTTGATCACTGTGTTTATAATAAAAAAAGCTTATAATAAAAACACTTTATAACTCATCAATGTAAGAAACACACCTTGAGATCATGACATCAAAACGTAAACAAACAAGCACACTGAATAAACAGGTAAAATTTCACAGGCATGTCTAGACAATGCGTTGAATGAACTGACAATTATTCACGAGTACAAATAACCAATCAATCATCTTATTTGACTCCACAGACACTTTATGTGACTAACTGTGTCCGTGTGTGTTTGCTTTGTAGTCAGCCACAGAAATGATTCAATGCCCTTGGCGGTGATCTAATTATCTTTGTTTAAACAGCCTGAATGTGTCCATATCACTGCCTTCCTGTACAGTGTGCATACAGCTGAATGGCAGTCTGTTATCTTGCGTTTACAAAGACATTCCAGTCTACACCCATGTAGTGGAGAATGTTGACCAAACCCCACCCACCTGAACCCACCTTGGAGATATCATTGACTTTCACCATAACAAGAGTTTAAAGGAACAGTTCACCCAAAAAATGAAAATCTGCTGAAAATGTGCTCACTTTCAGGCCATCCAAGATTAGGATGAGTTTGTTTCTTCATCAGATTTGGAGAAATGTAGCACTGCATCAGTGTCTCAGCAATGGATGCTCTGCAGTGAATGGGTGCCGTCAGAATGAGAGTCCAAACAGCTGATAAAAACATCACAATAATCCACAAGTAATCCACAGCACTCCAGTCCATCAGTTAACATCTGGAGAAGTCCTTAATAACGCTTCCTCCAGCGAAAAAGTGCATCTCCTGTTGTCTCTCACGTCAAAATCC